GTGAAGGGTAGGTGAACTCTGCTGCGCTTTTTTTAAATTTACTAGTGGAAATATTCTGTAAAAACGACAAAACTATGATCGTAACATGGGTAGATTGCTATATGTTGAAAAGAAAGAGTTCGCGAAAACCACTTTCTTTTTCAGACAGTTTTCTTGACTCTTTTCCGGACTGGATGCGAGTGACTGAACCTCGTCGGTTTCCATTCATCGCCCAACTTGGTGATCACGTCGTCTATTTTCGACAAGGTCACGAGATGTATCTTGAAAGGGTCGAGGCCATAAACTTGTATCCGATCAGCTCGAAGATGAGGCCAAAGTGAGTAAAGAAAGCGAGAACGTCGTATCGAAATCTCCAATCAACTGCTCGCATTTTACATTCAGGCCGTCTCTCGGTGCAGAGGAGTTCTGTATCGTGGATGAGGTGAGGTATGTGCGGAAGCCCTACCGGCTGACAGTAGTGCGCCTTTCACAAACGGATCGCGACGGTCAACGCACTGGTGTCTCATGGAGTGTAAAGTATGTTTTAGTTACCTCAAACTGAAGTGAACCTGGCATCGAAGTTCACTATTCAGATTTCATGATCTTGCCAACGTACCAGACTTTATTATCCTGAAGCAACATTACGATCTGTCAGTTGCGCAAAATGTGCAAGAAGGTGATCGGATTGAAGCAATACTCGATGGACAATGGTGGACTGGAACGGTTGATCGCAAGGAGCCGAGATCCGAAGAGTTTCCAAGGTGATTCGTTAATTTTGTTTGGGTTGAAGTTCAGTATCCCAGTTTGAGAATTCATACCTTCCTCTATTTTGATTACAGTTGAGGTTGTGTTAGTGACAACTTGTTTTCCTTGTGCAATGACGCATTTGGAGGGCATTGGTCACGATGGTTGAACGGCGGGGACGAGTTGGGTACGGCGCGAGCAATGAGGAGTGGTTAAACCGCCTCTTGATGCTCTTTCAAAAAGGAGCTTCCAACTCGTCTGCGCCTCCCAGCCAGCGACCTCTGCCCGGCATCAACTGTATGTTGACAAAGATGAAAAAGGAGGCGGTAGCTTTCGAGATTCTTCATTGGGTTGATGATTTTTTTTTCTGTACATTGTGGCTGTGGTTAGGGGGCGGAGGTATTCGAGACCCAGGGAGGGGAGTGTAGTGGCAAAGATTTACAGGCTGTGTTTTATCAGTGAGGAGAGACGGTCTTTGACAAGTTTTGACTTTTTGGCGTAATTTCCACGGATGAAATAGACGGAGCTGAAATAAGCGATATCGAACAATTGAATGAAAAAATTTGAATAAATATGACTAAAGCATTTGCCGTGTCTGTAGTCGTATTTATCTTCTTCTGTCCCATCCTCCCCACCTCTTTTGTTGTTCGTATCGATTTACCGCGACATGTAAGGACATCGGCAAATTTCCTCAGTGCGTATTCAGGAACTTCCACAATTTTTGAGTCTCAAAAGGAACTTTCACAATTTTTGCCTTGAGGTAGTCTCAACACAACCTCCTCACCACCAATAGCTTCGGGGAGGAAGGGGGATAGTACGTGATTCCGAGAACGCTCACTCTGCGGCAGTTTTATTAATGATGTGAGGTGAAGTTGGGATGTCGAACTTGGCCTCAGAATCACACACTATCCCCGTCCACCCACAAGGCTACTGGTAAGAGGGATCGTGTCGAGACCCCCTCAAGAGGAAGGATTACGTAAGCCCTTGAATGTGCATCGACGGTTCAATCTGCTGCTGTCCTTAATGTGGCGTAATGGACACAAAAAACTACAAGAAAGAAGTGCATGAATGGAAGTAGGGAGTCTTGTATTCTCCGTCTACATCATTTTACGAGTTTTCAATATTGCAGTCATAGAAAACCAAAAAATCGCAAAAAATGCTAGAAATTTTAGCTCTTTATGGTTTTGTCTCCGCATCATCTGGGATTCCGGTGAAGAAGATCTAATGAGCCCATGGGATTGCCAACCCAGATCAGGATCAAGAAAGTCAGGTAAGAAATTGAGCAATATTTGGGTATTACAGCCTTGTTGCTGCCTTGTTTTGCTTTATCTGCCAAAAGATAGGAGGAAAGGGCGGAATTGAGTGGGCGCGAACGATGACGACATATTTCATACGATTATGTGAACCGAACAAGACAATGAAAATTTTTTACGATGCTATACTTATAGTTTTCCATTGCGATAGTGACCACTTCTTTTTCAGGAGATGAAGCTACTGAGGCAGATCATCTGGCGTACGCCTTTTATGAACCTGATAATGATTGGCCTGAGTCGGAGTTTCGTGGAGCTGTAGAAGCGAAAGAGGTGCTTGCGTCTGCTTTTGTTTTTGTTTGTTGTAATGGTTCTCCGCCAAGCAGTGCCCATCATAATGTGCAACACACTGCAAATATGCTGTTATTCGAATCTGAATGAGCAACACTGTGCGTACGCCTTGAGTCCGCTTTCTGTCGTGCAATTTGAATTAGCTCGTTGAGTTTTAATTATGAAATACTAGCTCTTTTCATCATTTTGGGATCGATTCTCGTTCATATACGTTCTCTGCAACGCTTTTTGTCTATTTTTGAAGATGCTGTCTTAGTTATGCTGTGCTCGGATGGCTGATGCGATCGTAAAATTGAGTGTTCGTGATACTGTGGAACCGTTCGCCTATCCTGTCAGTCTCGAGGCATTTCCACACTATGCAGCCAACATTGATTATCCCATAGATCTGGATACAATTGCGAATCGAATTCGAAGTGGCTTTTATAGGTGAGGCAAAGGTTCATAGGAATATTACTTTCAGGTATGAAAGATTTATGAAATGCACTGTTTAGGCGACTCAAGTCCCTTCATCAGGACATTCGTGGTATCGCAGTTGCTGCAGAACAGTTCAACGAACCGTCGAGTGCCATCGTACGGAATTCGCGTATTGTTGTTGAAGCGCTGATTCGATTTTCACGGTAACCAGTTGACGTTACTGTGTATTGATTAATTCGAATTCGAATTCTCCAAAGAGATTCGAAATTAAATTTACCTCAAATTAGGGTTCAAACAAGCTCTTTGGAACAGAATACTCTGATTACTGTGGCCTCAAATTATCAATTTTTTAAACCTGGATAGTATTTCACCTGCTTTCGGTTGGAATGCTTACGCCCTAAGTCAATGTTGGTCGCTTTGTGTTGCTTGGAACTGAAACTGCACTGACCTCAACCTGCCAGCGCTCTTGTTAGTTACGGTGGAGAGCTAGGCTCGCGATTTATCTGCTTCCTTTTCTTTTCATTTTATAATGAAACTAAAAACGAGTAGCAGTAATTTGGACGCTACGCTTTGTGCTGTTTTCTTCTGTGCCAAACAGGTTGTTACGGTGGAACACGTTTATTGGTCAACGTTTCGACAAATCGTCGTCTTCAGGACCTGAAACTGGTTCGAAGTCCTAGCTCTGTAGCTCACCCGGTAAAGCGCCTAATCTTGCTGAGTTCTAACGCAAAATAATACAAAATAGACGATACCAGCGAACGAACTAACCTGTTGTGGATCCACCAGTTTCTAGCAGCCTCCTCGTGTCAGTGAGCAAATAAAATGAGACACTATTGGACAGTCAGCGTCCTACGTGTCGTATGTGGTGATCTTATAGTATAGTATTCGTATAGTACTCAGTAAGATGTAATATCTTAATAGTATATGTTAAGTATAAATGTATTATAGTAGTATTAAGTATACGATATATATACCAGTTTTGCTTCGCCCGCTATCGCGCGCATCACACGGCAGGCTTTAGCGAAATTGGAGGACCCATGGAATATCAGCATGAGATACTCCATTAACCATCTCACTATTGACTGTGTTAGACCCTCCACAGTTTCACTGAAGCTCATCGAGAATACGCGTGATAACGTCTGAGCTGAACTGGTATATTGATCTCACAACTGTAAACATCCAGCATTTTTCTTGAATTAAGATAATTTAGCGGTGAATAGGATTGCTGTCAGTCTCAAAATCAAAACGAAATATGCCTATTTACATAAGTGAGGAGCTAATGCTTATCATTCATTTACATTCATCATTATTTAGAACCACGAAAGGATTAGCGGTTTAATGAGATTGGGTTTTCTTAATAGTCAGAAATGAAACTTATCATTTGCTGAAGACTTGTTTTTTAAAATTTATGCAGTCGAATTCTATTAAGTAAGCTGGATATATATCGAAATAATGTGCACGTACCTTTGTTTGTACTACTACGACTTACTACAATTTGTAAGTAGGAACGCTCTAGTGTCAACGCTGCGTAACGGAACTAACGACTTTTGCGTTCTGACGCGCCTTATCGGCCCTTATCAATCGTTATCAGTTTCTGGCACCCACCAACAATGTCCCCGTCCCACCCCACATAACACTTGTAAGTATGGTTGCTCTGGTGTCAACGCGAGCCAGGCAACGGAATCGACGACTTCAGCGTTCTGGCGCGCCTTATCGGCCCTTATCAATCGTTATCAGTTTCTGGCACCCACCAACAATGTCCCCGTCCCACCCCACATAACACTTGTAAGTATGGTTGCTCTGGTGTCAACGCGAGCCAGGCAACGGAATCGACGACTTCAGCGTTCTGGCGCGCCTTATCGGCCCTTATCAATCGTTATCAGTTTCTGGCACCCACCAACAATGTCCCCGTCCCACCCCACATAACACTTGTAAGTATGGTTGCTCTGGTGTCAACGCGAGCCAGGCAACGGAATCGACGACTTCAGCGTTCTGGCGCGCCTTATCGGCCCTTATCAATCGTTATCAGTTTCTGGCACCCACCAACAATGTCCCCGTCCCACCCCACATAACACTTGTAAGTATGGTTGCTCTGGTGTCAACGCGAGCCAGGCAACGGAATCGACGACTTTTGCGTTCTAGCGCATCTTATCAGCCATTATCAGTTGCTATCGCTTCCAATCATGTACCACCAATGTCCCGGGACCGCCCCACATAAGACTTGTAAGTATAGACGCTCTTTTACCAATATGAACGGCAAAACGAAATTGGCGATGCTCGCTTTCTAGCCCCTCTTATCAGCTATTATCAGTCGTTATCAGTTCCTATCACGTACCACTTGTGTCCCCATCCCACCCCCTATAACATATGTAAGAACCACTGCGCTATCGTTACTGTGACTCGAGCTATGAATTTCCGGTCAAACACACACACACACACACCAACAGACACACGCTAGCCGCTTATATATAGTAGGATAAGATCACCACATACGACACGTAGGACGCTGACTGTCCAATAGTGTCTCATTTTATTTGCTCACTGACACGAGGAGGCTGCTAGAAACTGGTGGATCCACAACAGGTTAGTTCGTTCGCTGGTATCGTCTATTTTGTATTATTTTCGCGTTAGAACTCAGCAAGATTAGGCGCTTTACCGGGTGAGCTACAGAGCTAGGACTTCGAACCAGTTTCAGGTCCTGAAGACGACGATTTGTCGAAACGTTGACCAATAAACGTGTTCCACCGTAACAACCTGTTTGGCACAGAAGAAAACAGCACAATATTCAAAATGCCCAGGTTCCAGGAAAACCGAACATGGAGTTTATTGCCTACGTTTTGTTTTAGTGACTGACCCACAATATTTCAGAGATCCACTTCTGGATGATGTGGTGAATTTATACGACAGCCTTTTTGATCTGCCTCCAGATCAGATTGTGGAGTACTGTAAGAGGCAATTAACAAAATTGGGTAAGAAGTTCCTACTTATCACCTTGCTTATTGACCAACGCTGGTGACTTTTACAGCGTGGGATGGTGAACTGCTCAAACACCTAGCTGAAGCGAATCCCATAGAGACACCCTCTGAACCAGGCTGGAAGACAGACTGTCGGGCAATAATGCAATCAGTGATGGCAGATCCGTGTGCAACACATTTCTTGAAGGCAGATGCCGCCACAAACGAGGTAATGCTTCTAAGTTATCTATTAATCAGTTTTCTTTCGAGGGCTCTGTTCGAGAGCCTGTATTCCTTGTGTTATGGTCATATTGCCAATGTGAGCACAGATGAATATCTTTCTTTTTTTTCAATTTTCATTATGCTTGAGATGTTTCCGCTACAGGAAACGAGGACAAAATAATGCGCGTAGTAAAGGTTGGGCCTCATCAACAGATTAATCCCCAATTTTATAAAATAGTAAGTGGCATTTTCCCTTTTGATTTTCTCGTTGATGTGCATCAAAGAATACGCAAATCAGCGTTAAACATACTTTTTTGTGAAGCTTGAGGTGGACGTAAGATTCCAATCAGGTTAAAGAGTTAGGAAGGTCTGTGGATATGGCTATTATTCGTGAAACTCCTGTTGTAGGATCTGGCAGCAGCATTACATCAAACATGTGACCTTACATCCTTGCTGGAATCACTTGAGCGCGGTGACATCGATCAACCAGCTACATTGCTTCACGACGTTGAGAAAATGGTTCATGCCTGCAAGACTAACATCGACGACAAACGTTCACCGGTCAGTTTACAAGTGCAATGATGAACCGAAAGTTCTGCGTCATTTTCAATCTTTATTTCAACAAAAATTATAAAATGAGCCATTGAAATTCAGCGGGTAGCACATTGTCTATCGACCATCTTGTATCAAAGCTTAGGAGGCGACTAAATGCCTTTCTTTGTAAACTTGGCTGGTTACAGACCAAAGTAATGACCAAAGTAGATTTCAAAGTGATTTTTGCTTACGATTCTTTGTCTCTAAAGACGGTGCTGAAAAGAGCAAAATCAATCTAACTTGAAGGCGATCAGTCCGGACCAGGGTCAACCCTACGTTGGGACAAGTACCAACGGGGGGGGGGGGGGTAGTTTGTTGAAGTTTGTGGGGGGTCGTACTTGTTTCGGTAGCACGAAATTACATGTAATGAGGGAGAGCGCGCGGGAGAAAATTTGCCGTTTCAGCGTGCGTATATACCCCCTAGAAAGTGGTAATGGAAATATAGGTGAACAGGTATAATAGAGGGAAAAGTAAAGGGAAATAGAGGAAATTTCTGCGGTTCTATGGTTATATACCCCCCTACCCCTGCTTTCGCTTCAACGGATAGTTATTGAGGAGAAAGAAGTTTTGAAGAAGGGATCGTATGAAATTTGTCATGAAGGAGGGGGGTCGTAAAAATTTTGCAAAAAGTCACAACGATAGGACCGACCCTGGTCCGGACCACAGGGTGGGTGAGGTCAGCTTTGATTTCCATCTGATTGGTAGGCAGTTCTGTTTAGAAACCCATTTATCCAAGATACGATTCTGAGCTTTCCTAGTGACTAGTTATTGACAATGCCTCTCTTTGATATCTTACCACGCGGTGAAAGAAGTTCCAGTAATGGTTCCTTTTTTATCATAGAACTTTTTGGGCGCAATGTGGCTCGGGGGGGGGGGCAGTCGCCGCGCGCGGCTCAGCGATGTAGTGTAACTCGAACATTCCAGCTTTCTCACGGACATTCCAGCTTCTCACGCATGCTAAGTGACTGCCCTCACCCCCAACCCCCCTGAATTGGCTACACTCCCCCTGGCTCACGAATTTCCTGTTGCCGCACGGCCGCGCGCGGCGACTGGTCCCCCCCGAGGCACATTGCGCCTTTTTTTATCATAGAACTTGATTGTGGAGTTGAAGCTTCTCTGATTCTGGCTCCTAGTAGGCTATCTATTCTGCTTTGGGCGCATGCATAGTCGGTCGTCCGATCGTAACGTCGTAGCGATCGTACAGCGTTAGATATGTATCGATCGTTAGATACTCAGGCAATTCTGACTATCGAAATGCATCCAATGCTGTGCGACCGTTACGACCGACTATGCATACGCCCTTGAAGAGCGCGAAAGAGGTGGACAAAGGTCTGAGAAGGAGGGGAGGTTAGGCATGCACGGAAGTGGGAGGAGTTTGCCATTGAGCATCGTCATCAATTCCAAGGCTGCCCTTAATAGAAAAAAAAAGTTTAGAGAAGCTAGCAGCGGACGGAGGTCAAATGCTATTGGCGCATAGAAGAAGGCGGTGCCAAAACCCACTATTGCGTTACCGTTTGGCCCGCACGCATTGAGCAGTCGCGTCAGAGAAGCTGTACAACTTGTGGTAAATAAGATCATACGGTTAATGTATAGCGTAGTACGATGATTGCGAAATGTGTCATGGATTGTCTCCAGATGGATTGTCCCCAGGCTATACAGCTTCGCAAGCGCGGTAGCGTGTAGAGCTAAACCGGTTACTAATATTTCATTTCTCAGATATATCGCGACAGCCTTGCATTGGGTAGTCTTTTCGCTGAACGGATGCGTGGTGTCTTGAGTCAGTTCGAGCGGATTTGGAAGAGTTTGATTGATCCGGGTGGAAGAAGTCTCCGTAGAAGAAGCCGCAAAGAACGATTCCAGTCAAAATATAATACTAGAAGGTTCGTTCTGTTTTTTTTTTAAGTTTTGCCCCTTATTGCTACGAAGAGTACTTCCGATTTTTGTGTGCGAAAATAAACATAATCTCGCGGTTTAGCCACGACCGGAACCCAACCTCCGATTTTGATCCACAGCAGCCGTCGACCTCTCACTCAGGTCGCGTAGTAGGAAATTCTCCCGGTTTCTATCGGGATCTTGCCAGTGGACGCCTAACAATAAATGAACAAACGAGCCGACGGAACGCTCATCGACGGAGCCCTATTCTGGTGAACCCAGCTTCTTCGCCTCTAGCACCAACGCAGTCATCTCGTCCTAGGAGAAGTTCGTTCGCATAGAATACCTATAACTTTTCATCAGATCCTTTTTTGCAAAACGAGATGAATTTAGATGTAGTCAATTCAACAACCATTGTACACGCTCAAGATACGTCTGGAATCAGTGATGATAGCGCACCATCAACATCGAGTCGAGAAGCATTCACAAATAGAAGGGTGGCGACTCGCAGAAGACAATTGGTATGAAACTCATGTTTCATTCGCCAGCTGTCCATCTCACTTTCGTGTTTCAGTTGTCTAGTGATTCCGCTAGTCCACCAGCCGCAAATCATACGTTGCTGTCCGCGCGATCTTCTATAGCCCATAGTGATGAGGAGCCTGCAGAAGAGCTTGAAGAGCAAGTGGATAATGAGGACGAAGACGATAGCCCACAGGTCTTTTCACCGCATTTTTTATTGATTCTTGTGAACTATTTACTATATTCTTTGGTTCTTTTCCGGTGTTTGTCAGCGATTGCTTGATTTTTGCAGTTTTATTCCTCAAAGTCACTTTTCATTTCTGAAGTGGAACAAATCTAAAAAAAAACCACAAGGGCGAAATTTAGCCACTAAACACCCATCCAAATAGCCAGTTTGAAAAGGCATTCTCTACGATTTTGGATTTTCGATGTCCCCTCCCATTCAAAAAGCGAGAAAGTGTCGGGTGCAGACCAACACCACAAGTGACGACGGCCTCCAAGTAAATCTGGTTAGAAGTGTTCATAGTGATAGGATTTCTGGTAAATGATAGTTGTAATTAGTGACAACTGATAGAATACAACTGCAACAGGCTAATCATTTCATTGGCAGAAAACATTACATTTGTGAATGCGGGTGCGTGACTATTCAATCGTGGCAGTGGCTAGGTCGCCGCGCCAGCCGCCGCAGCCCGCGATATCGCGGCGAATTTGCAAAGAACTCAGCATCCAAACATTGGGGAATGTAAGATTAGATGAAGTTTTCAGTCATGAAACATGGAATAGGAATCACCTAACCCCTTGAAATGCAGTTTCTTTCGCCCTTGCCATTATTACAAACTTATCCTATCATGCTTATGTTAGCGCCTTCCTCACCGTTCCTCTGTGTCTTGGAACGTGATATTCTTTCTGATTGAACCAGATTATCACTCCTGATAGAAATTCAGGCAGCTGATTAATAAAGAAGAATTAAATTCAAAAGGACAACCTTTACATGGTACAACCTTTGCACTGTGAGGCTTAAATCATTGCGGAGATCTTAAGATGACGCTTGCTGGCTTACTGATGTCTAGCACTCTGATCTTATCAGTCACCTAGCCAACTTATGGACATGGATGGTTAAGAAAAGGTCCACACAGAAATCGCCGCAGCAACTGCCGCGCGCGACGATTCTCGCCGCGTGAGCGGCGTGACCTCATTAGCCGACGATTGAATTGACCGTCTCCCGGTGAATGCCGTCGTCCCTTGTAGTGTATGGTCTGCCGCCGACGCTTTTCGGCTTTTTGAAAGGGAGGGTAGTCATATCAATTCTTTTCTACATTCTTTCCAATTTTTCAAGGACTGCGACTTCTCTGAGTATGAAGAAGAAGAGGAGCCACAACCTAGACCAAGAGTGAGGCCAAAAAGAAAAGCTCGTCATCCAAGTGAAGGTGGTGCTTTTTTTATTCAAGGTCTTATGAGGTCCAGCCCATTTTCTTGCCTGTTTGAATGAAAAAAATTGTAGAATGCATTATTGTATCCTATCTGTAGAATCCGAAGCTGCTTCGATTTCTCCATCGGAACGTCGAACAAATGGTCACTACTCCACTAGAACCAGCAATTCCAACAAACGCCGCCGAATTGAGAGTCATCGCGATGATGAGGTTTCGCGCTCACGCAGAGGCCGTAACACTCGTCGAAGTGTGGCTACTGTAAGTTATGTAGAAAGCGACGAGGATTCAGCTCCAGATGTACCGAATATCAGCTCTCGTGGTAGAGTTCGACGGCCACGACGGCCGATTCATTTTTAGTGCTGAATGGAGTTTTTATAGGGGTAGAACAGTCCCAAACGACTCTTGAAAAAAAGTGTCTTTACTTCCAAGGTCAAAAGGTGTTTATCAAGTACTTCGGATCAACTGTACGGGATTAGCTCGCTCATCGCAGTAAGATCTATGAGGTTTTGATAGTGCTGTTCTGTTAGTTAAGTTTAAAATACTGCAAGTGCCTTTTTGAGGATGGTCAGCCCTTGGCGCATGGGTGTAGTCCTCCGTTCGTTGGTGAGATTTCGACTCTTCTAATGTGTAGGGTAGCGATTTGCGCCTAAGTATTTTCTTTTGGAAATGGAGCAACGGAACTAGACTTACATGTTGCGTCTTACTGCTCATTGGACGAAAAATTCTATGCATCACCTTTTTCATTCACCATATACTCACAGCATAATCGATGTCAGCTGCTGACCATGTCAAAAGGTCTAAGAGGTGATCTTCTCATTCAAAAGGTCTAAGAAGAAAAGTTAGCTTGGTGGGCTTTTTTGCTATACGTCGTTATGATTTTTCTACTCCTTTTAAGGTTATCACATGTGCACATTTTAGTATTGTATTATGAGTTCCGATGCCACAGAATTTGCTTTCACATCATCTACACCATCATGTTTCCCTTAATTTATTGCATTTGTCACGACAGCTAACAAAATATTGTTATAATTACTGCTCGATTGTTTTATGAGTGGAATTTCCTGATATCAGTGTGATCTTTCGTCGTACAATGTTTGAGATCAACTCAGGTTATCAAGTGATTTGTGTCAAGTCTCGTGTTTTACCCTCGTCAGTAATTTGATTATGATACAGTACATCTGTGAATTAGGTTGTTTGTAAGGTGAAAACACTAATAAACGTTTGTTGCTCGTCGAGCTGTGGTAGAGGAAAGGTTGCAGCCTGAAAAATGTCGAATTATTGGGCTTCTGTAGGGGTAGAGCACTTTACGTCGACGATTTCATCAGGTGAGTTGCTTCAATCAGACCACGTTTCTATGTCTTCGAACCTGGCTTATAGTCCGTGCCAGAATGAAGTGTCAGTCGTTAAAACGGACTTTTCTGACTCCAAATCTACACGAACGGGTAAGGATCTGTTTTACCGGATGGTAAGAGGTCGTAGGTGTAAACAAGATCGGCATGTATTATTTCAGATTCTGGCCATGGTAATCCCACTACTTTTTTGGCTGGGAGTACAGCATTGCAGCATGGAGAGCCATCTACAAGCATGGATTCACCACTGTCATGGGTTCGACGTGATACCAATGATTCGCTCAAAGGTGTGTCCATGTATCAGCACTATCTTAATGCTGCGTGCAGAAAAGGGGTTAGTGCTACGGTAGTGTCGATAAGTCATACCATTTAAGAGCCCGTAAACGTGACTGGGTTGAGGGTAGTGGCAGGGGTACGTAAGACGAATAAAAAGTACCTAATCGGGGATTGCGGAACGTTTTATGGCTGGATAATGCTTTTCCATATGCAACCAATAGTTCCATATGCGAATCGTAGAAAAGAAAACGTGCACAGGGGTCCCCAGCTCTGTTTTTGAAGTACAATATCGCTTCGTTGAGATTGCAGTAGAAGAAATACGCTGAAGGGGTTAAAATAAAAAGGCAGCCTTCAGATGTGAGGATAAAAAGGATAAAGGATAAAGCATTTGCCGTTGATCAATCCCTTTTTGGGATGCGGCACGCATTCTACTTCCATTTGTACATTCGTAGTGGCGTTTGAATGCGATGTGGCCTATACAATGACTTGCGGGGGCCAGCCGATGTACAAGTCAGTGTTTTTATCCTCCCAGACAAGTCTGGTACCAATTAACCGACCCCGGAGGGATGGAAGGCTTGGTTGGCCCGGGCGACTCACGACCCAGGATTTGATCCCGGACCGCTCGCGAGCGGTCCAGGTCAACCCTGGAGTAAGTAACTGTAGGAACTATAGCGATGCCACTCACTTCCGCCTTTGCATTTTTCATTTCTTTTGCTCAGATGTAAGACGAGCCATAATGTATGATTTCCTCTACCCACCACCAAATGTACTGTATTGTGCCGTGAAAAATGCATTTGATATCATGTGGGATCAAAGCACCGTGCGCTGAGAGTGAAATGTTAGTAAGTAGAACTTCTCACTAAGATGGGAAGAAGTATCGTTTGTTTGGTGGCATCAGGCAGGTCTCTAGGTGTAGTATGTACGCATTGACGTCTAAGCAGAAAAGCTAATTTTCCTAGGTTGAGGTGAGCGCGATTTGGTGGAAGATTCTTGAAGCTTTTAACTTTTTTTATCTCCGATTTGCAGAAAGGTGTGGAATTGTTTTTCAATCAATTTTTGAAGTGTGAAAGTGTTTTAGAAGCTATTCAGCTGTAAATAATGTAGTGTGAGTCTTCTATTTTGTACTTGTTTAGTTCGATTCGTTTGTATGTGGGGTCAGTGTCAATACGTGATGGACAGTAAGGATGAATTAGCGGCACATTTTGACGTCCATTTGAATCAGTATGCAAGTAGTCGACAGCAGTCTTGTAGGTATTTCCACAATTTATTCCTTTTACAGTTTACTTTGTCTCTTTAGGGTTGGTTTCGCTATTATATTCTCGCATTGAGATGGTTAAAAGTCTTGATGGTCTTAGTGGTCCTTCCATGAGAGACCACTCACCATGACATCTAGTGTAAGGAGGAAGAGGAACGGGCTCAGAGCTGACCCTTGGTGCACCCCAACCGTGATGTCCACTTCCTTCGTTAGGCCGTGTGGGGTGCGTATAGCTGCCTTCGCCCCCTTCACCAGAGAGATCAGGTGTTCTGGCACATTCCGCTCCCTGAGCGCTCTCCATAGTACTGTTCGAGGTAGTCGGTCGAACGCCTTCTCCAGGTCAAGGAAGGCTAGGTAGCAGGGTCGGCGCTTTTCTCGGTACTTTTCCATCACTTGCCTCGCGATGAAGATGGCATCCGTAGTAGACCTTTCGGGCATGAACCCGAACTGTTCCTGGGAGATCGGGACCAGCTCCCGCAGTTTCGAGTCGACCAGTCGCTCGTACAGCTTCATTGTATGAGCAGTCAACTTGATCCCGCGGTAGTTGGAGCAGTCCATCGCGTCACCCTTCTGCTTGAAGATGGGGACGATAGTGCTTGTTCTCCAGGCATCCGGCATCCTTCCTTCGGTGGTTACCGTGTTCAGGAATTGGGTAAGCCATCTGATCCCGTACTCTCCGAGCGCCTTCCATGCCTCGATTGGCACCTTATCTGGACCCACCGCCTTTCCAACCTTCATCTTCCTTAGTTCTTGACGAACCTCATCCTCTGTCCATAGTGAGATAGGGCCAGCCGTCGCCTCTGCTTGCGAGCTGTCTTTGTGGGGGTACTCCTCGTTCAGGAGCGCTTTGTAGTACTCCTCCCACCTCCTCCTGACTTCAGTTGGCTTCCTCAGGATGGCACCGTTACTGCTCTTCACGCTCTTCACCACCCTAATGTCTTGGGTAGCCCGATGCCGGGCTTTGGCCAGTCTGAAGACGAACTTCTCTGCGTTTTGGCTCTCTAACTTCTCGTACAGGCGTCCATTTCCGTGTTCTTCGACGGCTGCCTTAGCGAGCCTCTTGCAACTCTTGTAGGTGGCGAGGTCTTCGGAGCTCCTGGTCTTCTGCCAGCGCTTGTATGCTTCCTTCTTCTGTTCCACGACTCGCTGACTTCCTCGTATCCTTTCGCCTGAGGTCATCCTTCTCCGCTTGGTGCAGCTTCCACCACCGGATTCTCCTCTCGGTTCTTACCCTTGTCTTCTTGGGAAGGTCTATGGCTATGTCTGCCAGGAGGGGCCTGTGCTGAGGAGCCAGTTCTTCGCCAGGAATTACCTTGATATCCTTCACAGTTTTGAGGGATGATCTTCTTACCAGTACATGGTCGATTTCCGTCTGTCTCCCTCCACTGCTGTAGGTGACCTTTTGAGTCTCCCTTCTTTCGCGCGAAGAACGTGCTGCAGATTGCCAGATCGTGGGCAGTAGCCAGGTCCAGGAAACTCTCTCTCCCTCGCAATCCTCACTTAAGGCACGTCTTTAAGGATCTGATTGGCGGGCTCTTCCACGTGAATACGAATGTGTTAATGCGAAATGAGCCTCTAATAGAGCAAAAAGGTAAAAAAAAAATCCGTCGAAAATGCTTTGGTTTACTTACCTTCGTAATCGGATGTGCTAGGGGAATGAGTGTCTAAGCGCGGACATGACAGTATGAGGCGATAGAGCGTGACAGATGAGAGGGCACCAGACAACAGTTTGATCAAGTTTGATGAAGAAAAATCTGCAGCCCCTAGCACTCTTGTAGGTTGATTTCCGTCTACGGAAATGCGACATCTGTGATTGTGCTCTAACGGTCTATCATGCAGATCGAAGGAAATCGATCACCTAATTTTTGCTTGGGCTGTAGCTTTAATGTTGTGTAGGATGTGATCCTCGAATAGAAAGTGAATTAGTAGACCATTGGACGTTCAGCTTCAAGTATTCTTGTATTCGTTGTACTGTTTCTAGATAATAGTCCATGGCCTTGCCCGATTGGTACTTGTCTACACGTAGCTGATGCAGCGGTAGATTTAAAGCGTCATCTCGCAATGCATCAGTTTCATGCTCACGCTCAATTCGTCGGATTAATAATTATCGGAACCAAGTCAGATTTCAAGGGCATGGCAAGGTATGGTTGGTATCTTTAGTCCACATGTTTACTGTTTCCCTTAAGTTGATATAGCAGGTTTCAGTTGTGGCTTCTCACCAACGTTAGATATAGCGTACTCAGGCGACATCACTTACTGCCTATGGGATAATTGTAATGTGCGTTCATTTCACTTGATTCAGATCTAGCATTCATAAAGTTGAGAAATATTGCAGAATGGATGATCTAAAGGGAATAAAAACGTTTGATGTTTGCCAATCGCTTTCTGGGATGCACCGGGATGCACCACGTGGTTCCCTTTCATTCAGAATCATGGTTGTATTTTAATGCGATTTTCCCCTATACTATGACCTACAGAAACCAGTACTTTTGTCCTCTTAGGCAAAACCGGCATCAGTTAACGGTGGAGTGAAAGCGTGTGTCGCCTGACCGATACCTAATGCATTTAATCTGAAGATCGCGCGCGTGTTCTGTAGGTGAACATACCGCAGGGTTTCTATTGTGTTCACACTTTACGATGTCGTTCACACAACATCTCATTCAATGGAATGAAATACCCTCACTATAGTACGCCAATGGCGAAAAAAGCAAAGAAATCCGTCAAAAATAAGCAAAATGGTACCCCTTTGATTGCCCTTTCATTTTCGACCATGGATGAGCGACGGTAAAGAACGACGTTGTTCGGACGTGTTAACCCCGATAGCCGCCATCATGCCAACAAGCATAGTGTTTTGATTGATAAGGCAATACGTGGGCAAGTTGGAAGATACAGCCGCTAGAAGGGAAATGATCATCCAAAATGAAAAGCCAACAGCAAACAGTCCATCCAGATCATCAACAAAACTAGTGGGCGTCACGTCACATAGGGCGGAGCGTCACACGGGTCCTGCTCAGCAACCACAGCACCTTCCGTGGGAGGACCACACATCGCTTCCTTGGCAGCCAAGTAATTGCTCCTTGTGACGCAGGTTCTCCCCCCGATGCGAAAATTCCTTATCGTAATCGCTTCCTTTAAGTGGATGTGTGAATGCACACTACTTCTCGTTTTCTCTTCACGCAGCCCTATAAGAAAGTTGCCTGGCGATTGTGACCGTTTCTGGTTTCCCCTTCTTCCTCTCCTTCTGAGATGTGTGAAACGATGAAGAAAAATCTGACGACGTTGCTCCACAAACCCTCATCAATCATGGGCAGATCATTTCAGGACAATTTCTCAGATCCTCTGCATCTCTTCAGTCACGTCATGATACACATTGACTTCCTGAGCAGTGACGATCGTGTTTGTGATGATGAATCGATGGCACTCCCACAACACAGATGTCTTTGGGAGAACTGCTACCGGCAGTTCGAAAATAAGGGAGATTTGAGGTTGGAGATTTATATTATTCACAGTTTGAAATTTTTAAGACTTTATACATATTTACTATAAAGAAAAGATAAATAAATGTCCTAGCGGTTTTTAAGTAGATTTACTAAAATTAAAATTTATTGAAATATTCCAGGAAACACGTTCGACACCACAGTGGAGAGAAGTATTGTGCATGTCCGTTTTGCGGTCGATTCTTCTCGCGTCCTGATAAACTTTATGAACATCTTCGCAAACGGGCACCAATACCTGCGGGTAGTGAAAATCAGCACGTGGGTTTTCCTCATTTCACGTTTTGATCATTGACTATCTAGGTTTGGTGATCATTGACTATCTAGGTTTGGTACCAAAAAAGCGCAAGGGGATTGATAATGTAGCTCATGAGCAGGTATGGGGGCATGTGTAGACATAGATTGTAAAAACTTACCACTTTAGTCGGGATGTCCCCATACCTGCTCATGTATATGGAAGGGTAACATCTACCTCTAAGAGCATGTTTCCAGACATAGCAATACCCAGATTGACAACGCATTTGCCACCCGAGGCTGAATGCAAAATGGAAACAATCGTTACCTCATACGAAGTTGTGAAGGCGAAATTGAATTGAGTAATGGAGGCGCTCCTATCCGGCTACGATCGGTTAGGTAGCACCAAATTGTCTGGGAGGATGAAAGGAAACAGAAAAGATTTGTTTCATATATCATGACAAGCGATAAGCGTTCTATTCTTGTCTCTCATGTTAGTCACCAGTAAAAGATAGTTGGGTCTGCTAGTTAGTTTTCAATTCCACAAAGGACAGCTTGTCCTACTTTGTCTTGAACGATATTAGACAGTCATCGTTTTACAGCTTTGTCTCCTCTGTCAGCGTCGTTTCGGTGATGAACGCTCATTGGTGAATCACGTACGGCGCCACATCAATGGCCGTCAATGTCCTACATGTGGATTGGCTGTTCAGCTTCCTTCTGATTTGCACAGGTACTCTCACGTACACTTTTTCTGAATTTATTCCTCGTTAAAAGTCCTTCTCCAGGCATATATTGGTGAAGCACACTGAAAGAATAAAGACTCTGACTTGTCCGGAATGCGAGAAGAGCTTCTATTGCCCAGTAGGTTCCATTCTTCGTACTATCAAAAGGATAAATGGTAGAGGCAGATTTGAAGAGATAACAGACCGACATTTTTTGTATTTTTTACTATTTTTTCCGCCACTCATTTTGCTATAGGGGCGAGAAGGTGAAGTAAGAACAGGTGCTGCTTTACACGCGCTGTCCAGTATTAAATTCCGGGTCATGCACCATCCAGGTCAGCCAAGCCTTTTGTTACTGGGGTTCCGGCTATGGTAGTCTAGTGTGGGAGGATCAAAGCTCTGAGTTGTAGATCGGCTAGTTACTGAAAGTCAGTGGATCGGGCAGGTCGCATACAATACCATTACGATTCTGAATGGAATCAGAATGCATGACGCATCCCAAAAAAGGAATTGATCAGTGTCAAACTCATCATCCTTAATCCTTTATTCATCTTTCTATACCTTTGCAAATCAGTTATCTGGAACGTGTTCTGCTTTTCTAGACAGATCTGATCAGGCATAGTGCTGTTCACGCTCCACCAAAAGAATTATGTACGGTTTGTGGTGAACGTTTTCGATGGAAAAAGCAATTGGATAGGCATATGACAACTCATTCAGTGGTAATGATTCGGCTTTTGATCCACTGGCTCTGTCTTAATGGTTTTGCGTCTTCTATAAAATGTAAATATTATGATCATAATTGAGCATACCCTTATTTAGACTGCATTGAAGCAGCCGTATCTTTGTCATATATGTGACTCTACTTACGCTACTGGGCATGGACTCACTCGTCATCTCTCGCGAAAGCATGAATGTCCCATTCCTGAAGGATTCAGCCGGTTTGTTCTAACACCGTTCTTTGTTTCAAAATGTGAACCTTCTCAAGAAACAGAAAATTTGAAACCCCAATTTGAAGAGGAGAAACAAAAAACACAAGTTAGCTACAGAACAAACCGGAATGGAATCACGCGGGTGAGGTGGGGGTTCCACAAATGTTTGGAAACACATCCTCAAAAAATACACTCACCTATAAAACAAGTCGTATTCTGCTAACTTATTTGTTCAAGACGTTCTTGTTCAGGTTCTCATACAAAAAATGTGCAGACGGCTGTTATCGGCTGCAGACTCGTAAACTGGTTCGCACTGTTCTGTACGAGAAATGACATACTCCTATTTTTCACGTTCAAATTAACCTCTTACCGGTAACGATGAATCTGTTCCATTTGATAATGCTGGTGTAAAATGTTTTTTGCTCTCAAAAGAGTTTGGCTAAGCATTATTTGTGCTTGCTCCTATAAACATATCACAGGTACTTGTGCATTTTTTGAAGTTTTCTGTTTATATCCAGAGCAACAGTTGTTGAATAAAACCTTATTCATTTCTTGTGTGGTTCACACTGGTTGCAATACCCTAGTGCTCCATATTTTCTCACTTGTACCCTTCACATTATATTTAGAACGTTGCATGGTTTCTAATAGGTAATGTGGACGTCGCGAATAGCATCGATAGCGGCTCGCTTACCGAAGTCTCTGGGTCGACGTTATTTGCTTTCAGAAGCGTTTTCTTTGGAGAAAGTGAGAGTTCTTGATCCCGTAATCGATACAGGCTGTGTTTCTTGCCAAACGCATCATTTTAGGAATGGGCTTCTCGACATGCTGAAATGACCAAATTAGGATTGGGTGGTGATTATGAATGGATAAGTGCTGTACAGAAGAAATTCATCGGAGGCGGTTTAGCAAGGTGAGCGAGTGAATGCAATATCTTAAGCATAGTGAGAAGTGTCCAGCTGGTCGATATCCGACGTAACCAGGCGCGATACTGCTGAAAGCAACATTAGAGATCCTTCGCCGGAGCTGGGTAAATGGGTATCGCTTCCTCCCCCTCCCCTCTTCTGCCAAATGAACATGCCGGCCACGACAATGTAATGAGCACTGTACGATGTGTAGCGCTCTCATCTCCGCTTGTCGGACACAAAAATAATAAGGCAGAAATGTGGCTTGCTCCACCTTGGACCGCGGCGAATAAGGTGAAGGTGAAAAAATCTCATTCGGCTCCAGAGCCTCCCAGAAAACGGGGATATGAGTAGAGGTTGGCATAAGATGAAGGGAAACCCGCGCACCATGACGGAGCGTCTATCAACTGGATGGTGCTTTCTCTAAAACTCTGAAATCGGTGCCAAGGCACTTGGAAAGAGAATGGGCAATAATATAGCACGCGTAGCCCTGCCCACGACGGGCGGAGCATGGTTCGTAATAAGGTTGCGAGATAGCATGGAGGTCGGCCAAACTGTGGAAGGAAACTAGCGAATCAAGACGAAAGTGAATGCTTTTGATGGCAGAGTTTGTACGGTTTAGGGTGGGCCAAGTAACAGTTCCAGATGTCGCGTTTCATATCGCTGAAGCTGTCCAAGGTAAGCGTCAGACTTCGCGATTGCAGTCGTGAGTGGAGCGGATCCTTGTCGATCCCTGTGTTTTGCATTGTTTCGCCCATCCCGATTTGCGACTGGCATCGCGGAGTCTGACATCTATCTGACGCGGGCGTTAGTGGTGTGGAGCCAAACTGGTTTGAACCCTGTTCTCTACTACAAACGTAAGCAATTATAATTTCAGCGCCATTGACGTCGATGCGGCTGTATGCGTTGCTGAACACAAAGATCAGGTATGGTCGGTCTTCTGAGGAATGGTTTAAATATGTTACGTTTTTTGAAGCAATCAACAATTAATGATGAAACACATAAACTCATTTTCAATGTGCGATCGAAACGTAACTTCTCGGAACATCCGAACAAGGAGAGCAAAAAATAGCAAAAGTTGACGCTGTTGTGTTCCCTTCTGCTACTTTTTGCTCTACTTGTTTGGATTATCTAAGCAGGTGTTTGAAGTGCTGCTTCGAGGGTGTGGATTCTCTGGCGTTAATTGCAGCCAGATTAATGTGATAATGTAATAATTAATTCTATATGAGCATAACCTCTCTAGCGAGTACCGTGCATCTAGGTCTGTTAGTCACAGATCTCTCTACTTTTAATTTTTGCACTTTTTCTGTCGCTATCTCTTTTTTGAGCTAGCTTAGAGTGATTCGAGTTCTGAGTTTTCTCAACTGATTGCTTTGTCTTCTTGCCTCTCCTAGACCGTAGATGTTGGGACAGGTCCGATCAACCTACTTTTGGTGACGAAGTCTCCTTGTAG